ATGCAAGAACAAGGCGCCTTGTCCTCCTACGTCAGCTGTTGGCGTGGCTGCAAGATCGACAGGATTGCCCGCAAAACCAATGCGTCCAGGGGCAATCCAGTTTGGATAAGAGTCGGCATGGCGTCCTGGTCTGCAGGTCTTCAGGGCCATCGGGCATGTGTGTTGCGGCGAGGAAGGAAAGTTACGCATGCAGCGCCACGCCACTCAATTGGGGCCTCGTTACAGCGCAGCGCGAACAGCCGCCGGCGAGATCCCGCCCATCAACATGCCTCATACGTCGAGTGGAGGTGCTCTGCACAGTTGGTGGTGTGATACATGTTCAAGGTCTCGACAGAGAGGCACCGGATGGACATGTGGACGGCCCAGGCGCAACGGTGGGTTCCCTTGCAGGCAGCGAACCACCGCCAGGGTCAGGCGTAACAAAGACTAGGGGCTGCCATGTCGGCTCTGGCTGGGCATCTAGCGGGTGTGTCGATGGCCATTACAATGTTCCCAAGCCAAACCATGCTAGGCACCCGCCTGAACACGCTGCAAATGGACTGTACTTAGGAGCTACAGGGGGGCGTATCCCAATATAGGTGGCTGAGGAACCACTTATGTACTGACCAGCCTCGGCAGTCCAGAGCGGATCTGAAGATTAAGAGGCAACAGTAACGTCGAAATTGATGTCGCCGGCTGGAGTGAGACGACATGAGGTCTCGGTCCAAGGTGAATGGGGCCACCGAGCGACCACAGTGCCAGGCGCTTCTATTCTAATAGACATCACGAACCAACGCCTCCCGTCGCAGGTGGTGCGTGGTTCTGGTGGCGCCTCTGTGCAGTGTTGATTGGAGAGGCTTTTGAAGGGCGCCGGTAACATGTAGGCGTTCGTAAGACTTGTACCAATGCCAGGTCCTGTACCCTGTAAGTTAGTTTATAGACGCAAGTAGATATGCTAGGCATGCCTGTGAAGTACGTATTCGTCTACCCGGGTTGAGGTGTTTATTCACCTGTCCCATTGCGGGCGAATCTTAGGCTGGATGCCTCAAGCTTTCTCACCTCCCAAAACTTGACCGGCGTCTATCTTCGCGGTGTTCAGCTAAAAGCGTCAGTCAATAACATCGTTTCCTGAGATGCATACGAAAGTGAGAGGGCATTTAGAATTTCGGAGGTTTCAGAACGGCACACGCCCAAGGCCCAAATTTGACACCAGACCCCTGCGCTAGCGCTGGAGACCATCCAACCAATTCGCGGGATGGCTCTTCCCCGCATGTGCTGCGTACAGCGATTTGCAGTGGTAACTACTAGCTGATGCCTGATATCGCGGTGGCGTTAGCAGAAAGCTTTGATTGCTCAAGCTTTCCCCTGCGGAAACAATGGTACACTATGGTTGCCCACACCACTTCTCGCAATGGTTTGCATCTTTTCTGCTCGCCCCTGAGGCTCCTGAAGTGCCAGCCATTACCGACTGAGCGCCGCAGCGCCACATGCAGTCACCCCAAGTTTCCACACTGGCCAACCCTCAGCTTGGTGTTCACAAGTCACCGTGGGAGCACACCATGTTGAAGCCAGTAAATCTCGGTTCAGTGAGGATCGAATTGCTGGTCCTACTGCCTCCGTCTGCACCGCATACAGGACGAGGAAAACGATGACCCCGTGAGTGGAGCCCTTCAGCCTCGTCACCCACTCGTTCCAAGGGTTTTCAAGCCAAAGTCGCCCCTGGATACGGTCGTCGAGCAGGTTCGACATTGATCTTGAATATCATCCTGGTCATTCGCAGGCGGTTCTGGGCTGAACGATGCCGTCAAGGCACTAAAAAGTATCGAACAAACGTAGCCGTTCGGACAGTTTAACGTCGCGATATTGCCACATGAGTCCCTGAGTCCCTGCGCATCGACACCGCATCCGCCCAAGTACTACAGGCTCAATCATGGAGTCCTCAGTGCCCCAAAGCCGTAACCACATGCATCCCCTTGTAACGGAGCCTATCAGGGTCCCAAGGTTTGCTGTTGCTTAGGAAGTAGGTCAGGCCTTAAGAGCAGTAATGATTCGCAATAAGTCCGTTAAGAAGCTTCTCTCATTCAGGTCAATATTTAGATTGACCACTAAAGATCTGGCTATCTACTCTTGGCTAATGACTGTAGTAAATAGTGGGCTCAGCACCTCAGCTTGTCACACTTCATCACGGCTCTGTCACATCGCGGCAGAAGCCGATTAGCAAACCCCCGAACCATACAGGCGACTGTCCTATGAAGTCAACCGCTAGAGCCAGCGCCTATTCCCGAGCTGCCTGACGACCATGATAATGTCGGCTTCGATAAAATACCTGCGCCTACATGGGCCTTCGTCTCGGTTAACGGGGAACGCGCAACCACCATCATCGATGCGGACGGGAATACAATGGTGCGGCGGGTAAGACGGCAGTCCCTGGCGCCTCCGAAGGGAGACCGTGTGGGCGAAGAGCTGTCGCTGCATATGCAGCCAGCTCGACTCACCTTGTGGTTCAGTCAGCTCCTGCAGGTGTCGCCGCACGGGTGCGCATGTGTGGACGCCGTGGCAATAGCATCCGCAGGGTGGCATTGTGGCGGGAGGCCTCATTGAGTTCCAAGCTGAGACTACGACGAGGCGTAGAGCGGGTTCAACTGTCGGACAGGACAACATTGAATCGGTAGTTCCGCTGTGTTGTTTAGAACCCTTTCGAAGACACTCGATGGCTCTTAGCTCTGGCCAAATTGCCTTTGGTAACAGAATGTACAGGCCAGAACGAAGGTACGAGTATTCTGGTGGCCGTTCGCGTTGTCGATCCTTCCGTAGCGGTCTGAGAGCGAGTGGTATTACTGAGCGCCCGCCGAGCTGAACTGAGCTGATCCTGTGCGGGCTTCTGGTGGCGCGAAATATTGGATCGCGATACGGCTTGGATGAGAAATCGCATTGAGATTCATATAGAAACAACGAGCGAAAAGAGAAGATGCTTTCATGGCGCGGCGCGCTGAATGGATCTTGGCGGGATATGCAACTCCGGGGTTTGAATGCTCGGTCCCCTGTACCAGCCAGAGCAAGTATAAAAGAGGCTATTGTGGCTATGTTGCAAGAAACAAGGCCAAACTCGTCTTTTGCATCTAACAGAACGTCAGAGCAATACTAAATTGTGACTCAACATGGCTCGTTTCCTCGCACTCGTCGTGCTTGCCCTGGGTAAGCATTGATGAACACCTTCAGATGAACATGGCTGATGAAAGAGAACAGCTGCCTCTTCCTGGTCCCACCCACAGACTGGCCCTGGCAGTCCGGGTGGAAACAGTGCCTGTGCCCAGTGGTGCTCGGACAACTTCCCCTCCAATCCCGGGTCCTGTACCTCTCAGGCTGCACATGGCGGCGGACCATGCTATACGTGCGGTCCGCAGAAGACAAAACCCAGCGAACAACTCTGCGATGGCGCGTGTACTGATACGAATTCCGACAATAATAATTGTGGAAAGTGCGGAACAGCTGTACGTTGCTGCTTTATCCGAGTTTCTGTAAACCGGGACTAATATCTCGGCAAAGTGTCCCAGGGACACCACATGCAAGTCCGGCACTTGCCAAACCGTGTTCCTCACCTGCCCCACAGGCTCAAACTGCGTTAATTTTCACACGTGCCCCACCTCTGGATGTTACTGTGTCACTACACCAGAAGGCCTAAACGTATGCGCTGAAGCAAACGTTGCCTGCAGTCCTACGAAGTGCACCAAGAGCTCTGATTGCCAACAGGGCTATGTGTGTGATATTAATGATTGCTGCCACGGCGTGTGTGTCAATGCTGTTCAATGCAAGAACCCGACCCTCGCTGCGGCGCTTTTCCAGCCACTGGTACCGGGAGGCAACCTCGCAACCCAGTAACGGGTGCATGTTTTACCTGCGTAAGAGAGGCCAGCGATGAAAGTGGTATGGGTATGAAACTGGGCGATATTAGTAAAAAGGATTTGGTTTTGGGGGGGCTTGAGATTCTATGCACCTCGTTGTGTCTAGTTGCTTAGAGCAATGGGCCTTGCGTAAATTACGCTTTTGAATCTCGCGGTCATGGAGCTAACTGCATCGAATTTTGCGGTTACTTGGCTAGCCGTATTGAGTTTTGCGGTCAGTGATTTAGCAACGTTGAGGATTCGAATTCCGGTTAAGATCGACGCGCAGGTGAACGGCTTAGCAGTTCTCTTTCGCCGAGCATTGTGAGAAAGGGCAGCCTCTTGAGGCACGACAGTCAAACTTTTGTCCTCGATCCATTTGGAGAGGCTTCGGCGTCGGATTCGTCCCTTGCCAGCCGAACCGCAAGGTGAGAGCAACGCTCTCCTCGTCGGTATTCCTGCTGTGGACCAGGGTGCATCGCGACGTCCATAGGTATAGTTTCGTTTCTGCCAAGTGCCCTGTGAATCATTCGCTCCGCGAAGGTAGCCGCAGTGTGCACGGCGCTATGCGCTTGCCTCAGACGGTGATGCCGTTTGCCAAAGATCAAGGGCCCATTTCCTTGTGAGGCCAGAGCTGCCCCCTGTGGAGGTGCCCCACGCTCTCAGCCTCGAGTGCGACTGTTCAATTCGCAGTTTTCTACGCAATCAGTAAGTACGTGCTACGTGGTTTAGTTGTTCATAGTAGCGTGGGTTGTACGTCTTAGGCATTCCGCGGTAGATTCGGATCGGCAACTAAATTCGGTGGCTGCGCCAAGCCCGAGGATGACATAGCTGGCCGGATCGCTTAAGCTACCGAACGAGACACCGGGCAACAACGGGGGTTTGTCCAGCTGGCTTCATGCGTCGGAAGCTTTGGCTGGATCCATCTGTCGGTGAATATTCAGTTAACTAATGCATACACAGCCTCATGAAGAATATAATGCTCCCGTAAGAGACTGGGCAGTTGAGCTTCCCCCTTACGGCCGTCTGGCTGTTCACCTTCACTGACAGTCTTTTGAGTGTATCCCTCACACATTACTTCACAGTCGCAACCGCTGGTTGACGTCCATCTTGACTCCGAGTAAACCGCTTCAGTCGGGGCTATTCTGACACGTTTACGCACGCCAAAATCGTCTCTAAAAGCTGCTTTTGTTGTAACGGCTTGGACAAAAACTCATCCATCTGCCCTTGCATGCACTTCTCCCTGTCGCCAATCATTGCATGCGCCGTCAATGCGATTATAGGCGTCTTCCGCGCTCCTCTGCTCTTTTCATAGTCGCGAATCACTGTGGTGGCTTCAAATCCGCCCTTTGGCGCCGTCAGACACCGTAAGAGCAATTTGGGTTGGGAACGGCTCTTACCATGATTGGCATCTGGATATCCATCAGAATCACGTCAAAGTCCTTCTCCTTGACGGCTTCCACTGCCTCCAATCCGTCACTGTGACGGTGTGGCGATATTTCTGCAGTATTTTCACAGCAAGCCTCTGATTGATCGTGTCATCCTCGGCCAGAAGGATCTCCAGTCTCCTTGTATTCTCAGCAATAATTGGTGTGACCCTATTCTCAAGTGCAGGGATCATACTGGTACCCAAGTCGACCAGCTGACATGGCGTTGTAATGTATGAGGTGATCCCCAGTTCCAGGCAAGTTTTAAGGTTGACGTGAACCACTGGTGCCAATAAAACAACGGGCAAGTCTTTAAACTCGTCCAGGGCCCTGAAACTCCGCGCTGTATCAATCGAGTCCTCAAGAATGGCGTCGCAGTCGTCAGGCACTGCATTGCACGCCTTCACGGGAGAAACGACAGACGAATTCCTCAGGCTCAAAGTGACTGGCCGCAAGCCGAGCTCCTTGAGCATTCCCTCAGTTTCGGTGGCCGGATGAGGGAGCGCCCTGTCGATCAGAAGGACCCGATGACCGTGATAGGGCTGCAACTGTTTCTGGATGAACTCCGTAGCACCAGAGGCGCGCCTCACTTTGCAGTTGAAGCAGAACCGGCTTCGCTTTCCAGCTTCGCTGCTAACAGAAATATCCCCTCCCATAAGATTAACGAGCCTTTTGGAGATCGAGAGGCCGAGACCTGTACCACCGAATTTGCGTGTCATGGAGCCATCGGCCTGCTGAAATGTGCCAAAAATGTGGTCCAATTTGTCTTCCGCAATGCCAATTCATGTGTCCTCGACCACAAACTCGAGACCGTATTCGCCGGACTCAATTCGAGACAATCCCGCGTCTTCTCTGGTGGTAAGGCTGACCTGTCCATGCTCAGTAAACTTGATGGCATTGCCTACCAGGTTCATGATGATTTGCCTAAGGCGGAACGAGTCGCCAACGACGTAATCGGGAATTGAGCTGTCCACCTTGAAGGTAAGGTCCAGGTATTTCTCGTTGGCTTTGACAGCTAACGTTTTCAGGGCGTTGAAAACAGTCCCCCGCAGTGTGTATGGTATCTCCTCCAGCACCATCCTCCTAGCTTCGATTTTGGACAGGTCCAGGATATCGTCATTTATCGTCAAGAGACTATTTGCTAGACTTTTCACGATGTTGAGCATCTCCCGCTGGTACTGCGTCAAGTCGGTGTCAAGCGCTAACTGAGTCATGCCGATGATGCCGTTCATGGGGGTCCGAATCTCGTGTGACATATTAGCCAAGAACTCTGACTTGGTTTTACTCGCCAATTCCGCTGCTGCGCGAGCTTGAGTGTTCCTCTGAATGCTGTCTCTGAGATTAGAAATCATCTGATTGATCTTGCGTTTCAGCTCATCCATCTCGCCAGACGCTTCCACATCCACAAGCTTGCTGAAGTCGCCGTCGGTTGCCAAATTTGTGATGTCGGAAAATGCTCGCACTTGGGTTGTCTGCACGTGATAAGCAAAGACAGGGGATCAGCAGGGAACTGCCGGCGCATCCAGGTAACCTACTAGATTGCTAGCCATTGTGTTGACATCGGTGGTGATCTCTTTCCAGCGTCCGTCGAGGCCGACAACATCCGCCTGTGCTCCCATTTTCCCGCCGAGTCCAACATCTTTAGCAACTCGCTGCACCTCATAGCAGAAGCTTGATAGGCGTCCAACCATATTGTTAATTGTCTCCTTCAACACTTGAATCTCTCCGTTGGCTTCGACCTCTATCGTTTGGCTCATGTCTCCGTTGGCGATGGCCTGTGTGACCGTAGAAATACTTCTCACCTGCAGGGTGAGGTTCGAAGCCATAGTATTGACGTTCTCGGTCAAGGCTTTCCACTTTCCCTCCAGGTTCAAGACTTGCGCCTGCCCGCCGAGGGTAACTTCGATTCCAACCTCGCGAGCAACTTTGCTTACTTCGGATGCGAACGCGCCCAAGCGATCCACCATCTGGTTGATCGTGTTCTTCAGCTCGAGGATCTCTCCCTTAGCTTCCACACTGATCTTCTTGGTGAGATCTCCGTTGGCTACAGCAGTAGTTACTTTGGCGATTTCGCGTACTTGTGTGGTCAGGTTCATGGCCATGTAGTTGACGTTCTCCGTGAGGATTTCTCCACGTTCCCTGGACGTCATGTACCGTAGCTTGGCCGCCAAGGCGACCTTCCGTGCCTACTAATCTTTGTTACTTCTCGAGCAAACTGCTGGAGCAGATCGACCATGGAGTTGATGGTAGATTTGAGATCGAATATTTCTCCTCGACAGTCAACTTGAACCTTTTGCGTGAGATCACCCTTGGCCACGGCAGTGGTTACTTTTTATGATGTCGCGGACCTGGGTGGTTAAGTTGTCGGCCATGGCGTTGACGTTGACGGTCAGATCGTTCCACATGCCCTGCACTCCAGCCACGTCGGCCTGCCCGCCAAGGATACCTTCAGTGCCAACATCTCTGGCCACACGAGTGACCTCTGAAGCAAATGTTTGTAGTTGGCCGACCATCTTGTTGATCGTTTGCTGTAGTTCGAAGATCTCACCCTTTGCTGGCCGTTCAATCTTCTCAGTGAGATCGCCATGGGCTACTGCAGTTGTAACGGAGGCGATCTCCCGAACTGAACCACACAATTAGTTTGGTATGTACCGACCTTTGACCGCAATCCGCTTACCCTGGTCAGTGAGGTTCTGTGCCATAACGTTCACTTATATAAGGGATTAGTATAAGATGCCGACGGTGAAAGGACCAAGAACGGTTTGTACCGTTATCTGTGAGCTCTTTCCACGTCCCGTCGACGCCATCAATGATGGCCTGCCCGCCTATCTGCCTGCTCCTTGGCCAGTCATTCGGGCGGGCAAGTAGGAGGCCCGGATGCGCGCCCGGCTATTAATACGCCTCTTCCCCCCAGCGGCATGTCGCGCTGTTTGCCCCTCTTCCGACTCCCTTTTGTCTTCCCTCTTCTTTCCTCTCAATGATCTTGGATGACTCTCATCATCTCTTGACTCACGATCGCCTCGCGACTCCGGAGGTAGCTCCTCAATCAGCATGCCATCCAGTCCTTCATTGTTGGACGAAGCGGCGTCAGGCGACGGCATAGCGCACCATGGAGTGGGCAGCCTAGATCCGACGTTCCCTCAGACCCAGGCATACACCACCTGCCCGGATAATTGCAAGGACACGGTGGCTTGCAGCTCTTTTTCGCTATTCGGCAAACTCCCATCGGAGATACGAATGCAAATATGGCACATCTCGCTGCGCGAAGACGACGGGCCAGTCTTGCTGCTCTACAGGCGGGCTTGCCTGCGACTCTTCGACGTCTCAGAACATGAAGCGTATACCGCCGGTCCGAGAGTTCTGCGTGCGGACTTTGATCCACACTTGTTGGATAAAGTTCGTGTTGCAATGCATTTTGCCACTGTCAGTCGGGATTCTCGTTGGGCTACTTTGTCCTAGATATCTCAAACGGAAATGCGTCGTTGCGAGAACCACCAGGGCTCTGGATTCGTGCGGCCGTTCGACCAAAGTCGCGATACGCTCTACATTGAAGCAGACAAAGCAGAACACTTTGCCTTTGAGTGGGAGGACCTAATTGAGGACACCAGCGGAGGCCTGCTGAGACCTTCAGCTATTGCCCGTCTCGCTGTGTCAGAATTCTTTTTGCGCGACAAAGGTACCTTCCGTCCTAGAATTACTACCTCCATCTTCGATCATATGTTGGAGGCGGCTCCTTGCGGGAACCTGATCCTTGTTGTCGTGGATGAGCAGCCTGGGTGGAGACACAACGCGCTCAAGGTGCAATGGCGATGGGTTGCTGAACATGCAGGCGATTACAGGCTTTCATGGGACCCCGATCGGCAGGGCTTTGAGGTTGGTGCTGGTCAAAGCAGTGGCAGCATCGACGAGTACGCATGGATGAAGGCTATTTGTGAAACATGGATTCAGTGGCTTGTTCAGCATCGACGAGGGCCCTTGGGGATCCGTCCTGTCCATGCAATCAGGCAGGGACCCGGTGCTGCCGGGTTAAAAGCACGGCCTCGCTTACAAATAGCCAGCTCGCTTTGAACCACCCTACGACTGTCGGTCAGCCGAACCACGATAGCCATGGTGAAGTAAGTATGTTAGAGAGCGTTCAAATGGCTTCCAAACCCATGTCGCGAACGCAGGACGACCGCTGACGAGACTTTCCTCCCAGAGACCAAAGCGATCTGTTGGCCATGGGCACCGCGAGAGGTGGTCGCGGGAGCGCAGGCAACGACGGATATCCCCATTGCATCGAGTGCGAACAGTGCGTGCGATTTGCATGACCGACTCGTACCCTGCCCAATTGCCCTCAGAATCAGAACAGCTGGAATGCGTCATGTCAGACGGAGGGAACTCGACGAAAAAGCGGAAGTGAGGAAGGGGCCTTGCATACAGCCATAACAGGTGCAGGATGGCATAACCCAAAATGAGCGAATTGCCGGGAAATGCGAGGGCCTTCGCGGTCAGAGATACATCGAGCTTTAGCGAAAATTATGTAGGCCCCATTAACAGCCCGAAAACGGACTCCGTTCAATAATTTCATTGATTGGGAACGTTACACTCAGTACGGACCCTAGTGCCCCTCCTTCCCTTTGTCTCCTGTTTCGAGCCCCCCAGTCGCGTTGCGGAGTGTGTGCTCCACTAAGGGTGGTGGAACAGTCTCGCCAACTTCGCCAAGAGCCGCTTCATGGTGTATATCAAAGTCCACAACCCCCACCAGGTCACTGACGGTCCGCATCAAGTCCTCAAGGTCGTCGCAAACAAGCATACTGCAAAGCCGCATAATAAAGTACCCGCTTTCTCCTAAGCCGTCAATGTCATGAGTTTCTGATGTGCCGGATATCACGACGTTCCTTTCAATTGGTAGCTGTTCGTCACGCAAGTGCAAATCACGCATAGCGGCTCCCTGGCGAAGGTCAACTATTCGCAGGCTTGGGCGACCACGGCCGCGTTTCGAGTCCCGTATAGGTGATAGCGGCTCTTCGTCTGAGTTCCCTACCGGCGCAGCGCTACCCTGATATCGAGGTACCAAACTTCGTGCCATTCCGTAAAGTTGAGGAAGAGGTAGGAACGGGGGTAGTGCTTGTCCCGAAAGAATCGAGTTGGATATCAATGTCAATGCTGAAACGACCGTGTGATGTGTTACGCCAACTCCCTCCAAGATGCGGGGACGCACTGTGGTTGCGCGGACATCTGGCATGCCCGGATCGGCTTCTCGAGAGGTACCACCCGGCCGCAGAACGGCCATTTCATCGCTGCCTGCTGCCTTTACCTCGCTTGGTGGTCGTGTTACGGCGTAGCTCATAAGCGTTAAGTAGCCCAGAATTAGTTTGGTGCGCATAAGAATATCCCGGTATTGATCAACTGGGAATCGGCCGCCAATGCGAGGCTCCCACCGCTGCCATTCGATGTGTGATTCCATTGAGATTAATAGCCTCACAGCGTTGCCAAAAGCCTTGCGTCGAGCCTTTAGTATCCGATACGCCGGAGATGATTTCGACTTCACGTCGCCAGCTGTTCCCTCGACTTGCGACTTCAAGGTTGAGACAATAATGCTGAAGTACGTGCCGAGAAGACGCATCATGGCAGACAGATCCTGTCGGAGCCAGGTGCGGTCCTTCAGAGGAGACGGGAAGATGGTCCAAAAGAAAGCCACGAAACTCCCCGCAGTCACAACAGCGAGACGATAAGGTGCCAAAAGGTCAGTTCTGCGATTATTGATATTAGCCCGAATAGATATCGACAGTCAGTGATGGGGCGACGTACGGGTAGTATGGTTGCCCAGTTGCGATAGCAACTGCTTGCCCAAGGCGCCTGACTTGGAGTTCGTAGCCGATGATGAGTATATGTGTAATGACAGTGATCATGACAACTGAAACAAGCCGAGGGACCTTCATGAAATAATACTCAAAAAATATGAATAGCCACAAGAAGACGATGACCCCAGCCGTCTTCTGGTCAGCGATGTACCAGTTGACAAGTGATAAAACCATCGCGAGGCATGTGCCTCCGACTCGACAGAAGAAACCGAACACGGATTGACCAGAGGCTATTAAACATGAGTAAACTCTGCTACTTGATGAGGGGTGGACGTACTTATTGTCATTCCTAGAGCAATAGTGATCATAGCCCAGTACAGTCTCTGTTGCTGGAAAAATGTCTGCGTAGCTTCCAAGAAAGCCAGTATCCCAACTGTCATGGTAGCACACGCGACACGGAGGCCGAACGCAGATTCCTTTGAACCTAGGGTCGCTGAAAACTTGCATGCCTGATTTCCCACCCGTTGCCAGAAACTTGTAGCAGGAAGTCGTTCGGCGTCCTTCTTGTTCTGAAACCCGCTCCCGTATGAGACGTATCCAGCTTCCAGAATGTCTGGGCTTTCTCTGTGGGCAGATTCGCGCCCTGCGAACGCCCTTGTCAGCCATTTCCAGAGTCGGGCTTTCGGCGGAACTATGAAGCGTCGGCGCGCCATTGTACCGTCGGTGACTTTGGTGTCGGCAAATCTGACCAGGTTCTGGACAGACACACCGATCGAGTACACCAAGTGCTCCGTATACATCATCAAGTCGGCTTGCAGCTGATTTCTTGAGGATGTCCTATTGCCCAGTAACACATCAGAATCCTCTCCCCTCGACGACGATTGCGCCGTGACGGGATCTCGGGAGTTTCGTGTCGTGCGACTTGTCAGTGTCGATATGAGCCGCTCCAGTTTCTCAATCACAAGTTTGCCAAACCTGTAATCACCTGGTTCAGCTTTGGCGGGACCCGACTCCACGTCAGGCTGCGCTAATGCTCTGAGCCCAAGCCTGGCGTGTCCTTTCGGCCTGGGCAAAATGTCCAGGCATATGCCAGCATGCTGTAAGCCTTCTGAAATTGGTTCGATAAATCTGTCGAGCGATTCGTATGCCTCCTCCATGACAGATTTCCAGCCCTGCCGCACTGCAACGTCGCCTGGGACAACTTTTGTCGACATGGGCTCAAGCCCATTCTGGTGGCCAACCCTGGCAAATCTCTTGTAAATATCCATCACTGTGCTCATGGCCATTCTATTGCTCATTAGCTGGTCGGCGTTTCCTTTGAGTACTACATGTGACTTACATCGAAACTGTGACGTCTCCGTAGAGAATAAAGGTTTCGTGCATGTCCTCCGAAGACAGGTGACCCCATGATAAACTTCTCCGTGCAATTGGCATATCCCCCCATAGTTTACTAGCCAGAAGTCGAATTTCCCGGATAGTTTGCCGCAACTGCATTAGCCCGGCTTCCTCTTGGGGCATCTGGGCGAACTCCGCTTTCTTCAACGGTTTCCTCCTCATCAACTTTGTTCCAAGCTTAACCTTCGTTTGACCCGTGGCCATGCTAGAGGCCTCTCTGTGGGATGTGTCATTCACTGCTAGACGGCTTAAACATTCCCTTTGCAAGTTGACCGCGCGCCTGAGGAGGGTGGTCAGAGATTTTAGCTCTGCTAGAACAACAGTCCGACTCCCGATAGGGACAATGAAGAGCGCCACGGCTGTGGCAAGCCCCAAGCCGAACAACATCGCCAGCAAGAGCTCTCTGACAAATGACTCGGCGGCGTTCGTAGTCGCGATGGTAGGTCCGGTGGTTGCGCTCGTATTGACCAGGATGCTGTAGATGACCACTGGTAAATTGAGACTCGGGATTTTCGCACGCAGAAAATTTGCGAACCATATATTGACGAACAGCCATATTCCGCAAATAGCTGACTGAGAAGAATTGTAAGGCGGGGGATGCATCGCAACGCTTGGAGTAGAGGTGTGGTCTCGTGCCTGGATTGAGGACCAAATGACAAGGAGGGACATGGCGGAACCAATGCAGACGGAGAGGATATTAAGAAAGAGTAGTTGGATGAATCTCTCGCGAGGTAGTATCGCGACGGCTAGGACTGAAATGATTGGGATCAGATACCCTTCAGTTTTGAAGTACTGGGAAATGACCGTCGACTGGTACATCGCAATTCCTACTGTAGGAGGGATGGAGCCCCTAGAGAGTTTGGAAATGTTATTACTATCGCCAATAGCTGGTCACTGGGGGCTACAGGAGATCATACTTGAGCATGAGGACTAAGGTGGGCGCATCGATACCTGCCTTGTCCAGAAATCGTGTGAGTTTCCATTTTCTCCGACCATCACCCTCCGCCATGCCATCGGGAGCAGCAGGATGTGCCGGTTCCCCCGGTGACTGATTCGGTGCTCCATTCTGCTGCCGTGGAGGGGTCCGCTGCTGAGGGGGACTCGCCATTGATGAAATTGGACCTGTATAATGTGTCTGAGTTCAAGTCCGGCTCACGGAGCGGAGAGCCGTTGCAGGAACGAGCGAGCTGCCCTGGGCATCATCACCGCAGAAGTCGGCAACACCAATACTAATATCAGCTGACGGACGAATGCTTTGTACTCTGCGCCGCCTGTTTCAGCGTCAGCAGGTGCAGGGACCTTAGATTCAGTCCAAAAGTTGGCTGCTACGAAAACACCTGGTTGCATCCAGGCTCCAGAACAAAGTTCACGGTCAGCCATCCGAACTTTACGTATCTACCCTGTGGACAGGGAAGCAAAGCTAACATCTCCTGGGGTGTGAGTGACGCGGACCACGATAGGCTACGATGTCCGCTTAAGCTTTCAGCTCGGCGCCCAGTTTTCCGTCTGGCCGTGTCTGAAACCTTCAGCGAATTTGGCGGCGTTGGGTGGCTGGGGCTCACAGCTGTCTGGCTGAACACCTGTCGTGTGGGGCGGCGTCAGGCTTGAAAACGTCAGCGATCCTCTTATACACAAGGCATGGCTCCTATATTTTGCTAGACCAATTAGGCCGTTCCGCAATATAGTTCACCCTCACCCTCAGACCGTACCAGGGTATCTCGGTCACGATTAACGCTTCGCGAGCGAGTTCGTTCCTCACAGCCAGTGATCGCCCCAACGAGCCTATGAGTACCTCTACCTGTCTGGCGACTGGCCAGGACATGGCATAGCTGTCACCCCGGCGCGCGCGCACGGCTAGGATGTGAGTGAGAATGGTGAAGCATGGTCTGACGCGTTACGAATATCCCTCCATTAAAACGCAACCATGAATGGGGACGGCTCAGGCAAATCCACGAAACAGACTCATCGTGGCACAAATGGCAAGTCTCTGTCTGAATCTCACAGGATGTCGAACTCCCCGAACGATGAATCTTCCAGCCGGTCTAGGTACGCCACATTCATCAGGCGACTTCTTTGGCAGGGACAGACTGTTGATCCAGGATGCACAGCCGGTGGGGGTTTGCAGCATCAGCATTGCCTCTGATAGCTGGAACGCTGGGCCCCGTAGCGTCAGCGTTCAGCATATGTGCCTTGGTACGACCATGGCGACAGTTTTATCCCCCAAACACCAATGTCGACAGCGCAACATATATCCCCGATCCCGCGTGGTGAGCTGCGACAAGCGCGACGTTCCCCTTCACCTGCTGACCAGGCCGCCAGGCTCACAGCTGTAAACGCCGTTCAACTGATTGTAGCTGTCATAGCGAACCTCTTCCTCCTCCTCAACATGTCGAGGCGCGTTCGCTTTACTATTGCCCAACCAATTACAATTGCTGGATGGTAAGTCATTCTACAATACCCTTTGGGTGTTGGTATTGATTGCTTAAGGTACATTTCGGCGATCTGTCTCGTCACTCTACTTGCAGTCTCCTCTGGTCCCGCTCTAAAGGAGGCTGAGCAACCTCAGAGCGAGTTCATCTGGGCTCAGGCCTTCTACTATGCAATTTGGGCCACCATCCTGTACTTCTTAGTGGCCTCATTGCTAGTTGTCACCTACTGGGGCGCGCATTCCGGTCACTACAGCAAGGAATTCAACCTAACAACAAGCCAGCGAACTCTTATGCTGCAGACTATAATCTTTCTAGCACATCTACTGCTTGGAGCTCTCGTCTTCTCCTCGATCGAAGGCTGGTCCTACCTAGACGGCGTCTATTGGGCAGACGTGACTATTTTCACCGTTGGGTTTGGCGATTTTACGGTAACGACCAATCTAGGACGGGCTCTACTATTCCCGTATGCTCTCATTGGCATCATCAGCCTAGGGTTGATCATCGCCTCAATCCGGGACATGCTCATAGAGCATGGGCGTGTGCGCATACAAGCCCGTGTGCAAGAAAACGTCCGCCGCAGGATGGTAAGGACTATGAGTCGGGACGGCAAGGATGTGGTATTGACGCCCATCGAGCGAGACTCTGGTCGCGGCCATGCGCCACACAGTGAGTTTGAGCGGCGGCGATTGGAGTTTCGGCTCATGCGCCGGATCCAAAAGAAGGTAGCGACTCGAAGGCGATGGGGGGCGTTGCTCACATCCGCCTTCTCCTGGCTTATGCTCCTGCTTGTGGGAGCCTTCATCTTTTCCAGGTGTGAGAGGTCGTACAAGAACTGGACCTACTTCGAAGCCTTCTACTTTTCCTACGTGTCACTATTGACAATTGGTTACGGAGATTTGGTCCCGACTTCGAATTCTGGGAGGTCATTTTTCGTCTTCTGGTCACTCTTGGCCTTACCGTCGGCGACGATACTCATTTCGAGTGCCGGGGACACCGTCATCAAGTTCATACGCGACATCACCATCCGCATCGGCCATATGACTATCTTACCAGGGGATGACGATTTCAAGCATAGCTTCAAGGGAATGGTGCATGAACTAACGTGCGGTCAAGTCTTTCGGCGTGTCTATACAATGGATCGCGACATCGAGAGCAACGACCAACTGAACGACAAACATACGACAGGCCCCTCCAAACGCCACGAGACCAGAGAAAGTGTCAGAATCCAGCACCATGTGTACCCGTCAGTTGCCCCAAGCCACTCCTCACCACTGCACCATCGACATATACCGAATGAGAGTACCACGCAGCAGCATGCGAGGAACCTGGACAACCTCCCCACCGGTCATGATTTTAGCATTCTTCTTGTTTCGGAAATCCAGGTCGTGGCCAAACACGTGCGCGAGGCCAAGTCGAGACGATACTCATTTGACGAGTGGGCGTGGTATTTACGCCTGATCGGTGAGGACGAGCGCAAGCCGGACACGCATGACAAACCACAGCCCGACGACAAGGGCAAGGTCGGGCACAACCACAAAAGCAATGGCAAAATGGCCGAGCGCGAATCGGCCGCAGGCAATCATAGCCACGAGCCACGGAACGAGAACGGTCATGAAAGGGTGAAGTGGTCGTGGGTTGGCCACCAGAGCCCAACTTTGGGCGAGAAAGAGGAGAGCGAGTGGATTCTGGCAAAGTTGGTGGACAGGTTGAAGGACTCGCTATGGAAGACCAAGATGGAACTCGAAGGATCAGCAACTGCGGCTTCTGGGACTTGAGGTCCCCGTCACCCATATGTCATATCGAGGGGTCACGAATGCGATGACTATCCTACCGAGACAGAATATCCACCCTTTTGACACTCCCCTGGCTTGATACCCGTGCATTCCCATTGCCTTCATCACTAAGAATGTTCTCCTCATTTTCGTGGTCTTTGCAGACGTTATGCACTCGCCTCCTGCCAGTGTTTGAGATATGAGTCTGTCCGTAGTATGGTAACCCAGTCGTGCCAGCAGGTTCTGGCTGCAACAGTCCTCTGTAACGCGATAGGCCCTTGTGGCTTACCCCAGCTCTCGATTGGACTCCTCACCAGCTTCGGAGCTCTGTTCAAAGGGTCAGGCTGTTTTCTCTACTCTATCTCTCTCGCTCTCTTTCTTTTCACCTTAGCGTTACAATACCCCATTGCAGTCGCTCTGCTGGGTCGGAACCGTGGACCCGGCACCATATTGCCAGCTATCTATCTCTGCCTGGTTGATTGCGATAGTTTAAGGGGACTGTTCCGCTGCAACCACAACAAAGCAGCCGCTACTCGAGACTTCCGTACTTGCAGCAGGTGGTCAGCGGTGCCTGGCCTCTGTGAACCGTTCCATGAGAAGCTCATATGGTCAACAGCCCATAGTAAGGGAGTGGAAGGACCGTCGCAACTAGATCCTCCACCTTGTTGGGAAAGACAACAATATGGCCCTTAACGTGCTTGCGGTAGTCGATTCCGGAATGTGTTTTGTTGTGAACCGCAAACTTTGGGCGTCGCGCTGAAGGCGGCTGGAATGCGCGACATGGCACAAAGCATAACTGTCAGGAAGCGCGGCCACCCACGCAAAAGCCTTGCCAATGCAGTTTCAGGTACAAATGACTCGGTAGTCGCAGCCCTGCAGTCCAGCTTCGCAGACGTCAGAGTGCGACGCATCCGAACCGGGTAGCTGCGGACAAGTGCCGCTCACGAAGGCGGTTGTGTCACACACTGGACAGGAAAACCGTGGGCAAATGAATGCCTAATTGCTCTCATCTAATAAGTGATTGTGGTCGGTAATTTATACCTGTGTTGCTTGGTGCTATTGGCCGTAGGCATCTGAGACATGGCAGGCGGAAGTAGAGTTGCGTGAAGTTATTCTCACCATGGAAAAACAGTGGTCCCGTGAACGGTCTACATGATCAAGTGCCTGTGATGCCTTCACTGCGACAGGTTGGAGGACAGGCTCAAGACAGAGTATAAAAGTTTTCGGAACGAGCACCGCAAACTCTCAACCAGATTCTCTATTCTAATGGGAGAAGTGTATACTCTGAGGAATATGTTGCTATCCTCGAGGGCTGTCGCCAGCTCATAGAAGGGTGACCGACAGAACCTGTCAATATCAAGCCGCTCATTCACGTAGACCGTTACCAGCACTGCTCCCTACTATCGGTGGCGATAGCTTCAGGCAACCTGGCTTCTGCCTGCCGTGTCTCAGATGCCTGCCTCAATCGGCACAGGTATAAAATACCGACTACAGTCAATCGTTAGATAGAAGAATCAAGAGTCTTTTGTTGCCCAATTCGCTGGGGACCTTCTGCCCGGTCGTCAGTTGGTCATGCACACGTGCAGTGCGACAGAACCGCTTTAACTTTGGGATGCTTTTCGTCGCATTCCGCAGTGGATTTGTTGTCGGTAGAGTGTGCATGTCGGTCCACATCCTGACGGCCCGTCTCCGAAAACTCTTCTGAGTGCTTGAGATCTGTGCTTCTGCTTCGGCTTTGCTTGTATCCACGGTCATGAACGTCCGACGATTGCCTGCGCCTCGGCTCTCTGCACCCGATTGATTGGGCCCGGCCCTGATGTATCGGCACGCATGTAGCCATATATTGGAGGCATAATCTACGATTGGCGCGACCATGGCTGGCCGTGGCTGGTGTGAGTCCTCGAGGTCGCTGGAGCTTCATGGCCGACTCCTGGCTCTTGGCACTTGCTCGCGCCATATGCTCTTGTATTTCAGGCTAGAATCCATGACCATAACCAAGACTTTCACGTGTCTCTTCACTTGGATCACTTGACCTTTGATGACGAATGGCGCGAGCGGCATTTAGACAGTCGAGTCGAAATTTATGTTTGGATGGTCGGAGGATGCGGAAATGGCGACAACGGGTATCCTAGCCACCCCTTCCCATTGAATCGTTTATCGTTTGAGTTCGGAGTTACGGCTATGATATTTTCATCCTAAATCCGATCCTTGCATTCTCGGGATAACGATCCGGCACAGAATATCCGAATATGCTGATTAATACAGTGGCCAGGTTCAGGTTTGTGCGCCATTTTAGGTCTTGCATATAAGATGGCTTGGTGACTGTACACTCTCCTCGTTGGCTGCAGAATGACACTCTAATTCTTGGTCCTGCCTAAGTACGGCCATGGCTCGAACCATCCACAACGTTGCACTTGCAGGGGTACGTTTGCTGTCTGCTGAATCGAATCGCAGCGAAATTAACTGTCTAGGCTACGGGGAACGTCGGTTCCCATATTCTTTTAGCGTTGATTCGTCTCGGTTTCACAGTCACAGTCCTAACCCGAGGCCCAAGGGCTCTTCCGCCTGGAGTCCTGGTCAAAGAAGTTGAATTCGAGTCTATTTCTTCGCTTTCGGAAGCAATGTCAGATCAAGATGCTGTCATAGACGCCACTTTTTCGACGAATGTTCGATTATCTCTCCTTCTTATTGAAGCTGCCGCCGCAACCGGTATCTATCGCTTGTACGCTTACGCACCGCGCCAGAAGACCCTGTCCATGTTAACATTCAACAGCATCACGAGCGATTTCGGCCTTGACCCAGATCTCCCTGGAATACATGACTTACCCGTCTTCGCGCGGAAGAAAGCTTCGTATGAGGCTGTGAAAAGAGGGTCGAAACGCTCAGGAATGACGTATTCATTGATTTGCTGCGGGCCGTTCCTCGACTTTACTTTGGCTACCGGATTTGCTGGTATCCTACTGAAAGATAAGAGGGCCACGCTATTCGATGGGGGCAACAATGTCATCCCGTGGACATCTCTGGAAGACGTTGCAGCAGCTACAGCAGCTGTACTATTGCATCCAGTAGAGACAACTAACCGGCCTGTCTACATCCACAGTATCCATATGTCTCAAGTGCAGCTATTGGACGCAGCGAAGGAGGCTCTGGGGGCGGATGGTTGGCAAGCAACTTCCCAGGAAATGGAGCCTTTATTTCGAAGGTCTCTGGAGGAGATAAAATCAGGCTGCATCACTGACATTACGTTCGGCGTCCAGATACAATACGCTATCTCCACAGAACGACTTGCGAAACCCTGGAGGCGAGATGACAACGACATGTTGGGACTGAAAGAGTGGAATAAGGATGAGGTCAAGCAGCTCATCAAAAGGCTCGCCCTGGGATAACACGCAAAGAACAAGATGTAACGTATTCGGTTTTCTTCTCAGATGCCGGCCGCAGTTAGGTCGGTGTAGAAAACCGACATGAATTCAGTCACGCGACAAGCGAATCAAGAGTCTTTCGTTACTGCGACCATTCTGTCCAGCCAGTTGAGCCGAACGCCTATCATGCAATCTAACCTTGCATTCTGTGTGGGGTCACTGCCCACAACGGGATACTTGCAGCGAATCTCGCTACCTCACTTTAAAATATTTCTTCTAGTTCATCTCTCAGCAGTTGTGGTCATGCCCCAGGAACAGGCCGCTGACTCTCCAGTCGAAGACCGCGTCGAGGTCGATGAGGGTGGAGTGGACTCGACATACGGCGATGAGGTGCACCAGCACATCGCTGCGCGGCAACATCATGAAGTACGAATGGAAGAACGGACGCCGATAACATACCTATCGAACTGGGGCTAAACGAATTCCCTAACGACGATCGAGAGCACGACGGACCTGATTCCGGACACCATATTCACTTCCGGGCGCTCAACGATCGCCTATTTTCCCCGCCGGTTGAACCGAATAAGCTTCGCATTTTCGACATAGGCAGAGGAACAGGCTTGTGAGTACTTGACCTTGCGCCGGTATAGTCGGCAAAGACCTCAGCCCAGTTCAGCCGCCGTTGGTGCCTCCAAAACGACAAGTTTCACCGAGTGCGATCCGGTATTCATCTCCACCAGCAAGGAAGAGCATGAGTATAGTACAGCAACAGACACAGCTGCTGTTGCAGAGACATCGACGTAGAAGACAGACGAGCCCACAATGCCTCGCGACAGCATCCGACGACATGCCGACGCAAGTCCAGAAGATGCACAGCAACGAGATCATGGGGGCAATTGGCTGCAGGTGCTTCTAAACGTGTCCATCCAGCCGATAGGGGACATGTGGAGATATTGATGCATAGCGGTGGGGGGGCGGATCGAAGTAGACTCATGTAGGCATCTGCGTTTGCCATGGTGCTTTGACTGATCTTTGAGTCCTCCAGCAGAACGATCACAGCAACATGTCTCATAGAGTCTAGCCAATGGTGGCGAGACTGCACGACCAGAAGGCGGTAATTTGCCGCCAGGGCCCCTTTGGCCTGATTAGAGATGGCCACGAGCAAACAGGGGACAAAAGGCAGGAAAGCGGCCTTCATCTTAATGCGCGCAAAGTATGGCTAGGTTTGCGGGGCGTCCAGAACAGTAACATTGGCCTTCACTGCCGTGTCACGTACAGTGCGGGAAGGCTGTTCTAAGTCTAATAGTAACTATTCTCAATTGCGTGGGTGAGAACGGAAACTTCGCGGCGGCAGGAAGTCAATAACTGCTGTTGTGACTTATCGATCGAGTCCTCCAGCCTTTCGAGCGGCTTGGATTGCAAGTGTCAAATGTATCTTTGCAGCTCAAGCTCCATCGTCCACTTGGTGGCTATCACAACTTGCGTTTCCCGCTGCGTCTTGATCAGATTGTCCACTCGTTGCAGTGCATGATTACGGGTCCTGGCAATGCCACGGTCGGCCCGCCGTCCGCTTCCCGATATGTAGATTACTTGATGTCCGGTACGCGCAAGCCAGAATAAGACTCGATGAAATAGGAAGATTAAAATCCGCTGGCTACTGTACCTACAGTACTATACTGTAGAAAGTCCTCGGAAAGGCCGGAAAGATCACGCGCCTACCCAGCAACGGCCGGAAGTACTATTGTCGTCTTTGCTCCCCCGCTCCAACTTTCGGCCCCAGCTGGTGGAGCTGCAGTACTGCTAGGCTGCGAGAAAGGACATTTGGATACCTGCCGCTGCCGCGGCGTTAGGTTCTGCATGTTGGTTGTCGCGATTTGCGGGCTCATCGACTGCTCGCGCTGGTGTAATGCCCGCGTCCTGAGTTGATATGTTGACGCACACATTCTACTTCAAACCATTGTCCCTTTTTGGAGCCGTGAAAGCCTGCACTTGCTGTAATTATGTACAATGTTCCATCTCCAGGCGAGGACAGTATGAAGAACTTGTGGATGTGGCCGGCGCTTGCGGTGACGTGGAAGGCTTTGAGTAACGGGCAAATCCATTGCGGCGTCGCCCCGCCGAAAGTGCATAAGCCGGAAACAGACAGGGCGTCATGGTCACCGGCTAACGAGAAGCAGGCATTGCCAGCGTACAGTTGTTAGCTTGCTGAGCGCTTCTCTCTGCTAGACAGTAAGCATATGGGGATTCCACGGGCATCGCGAGGCTCAAGACAGTGTGGAGAGCCATACTTGGTGTGGTAGTGGGCTGGGAGTCTCCCGCTGCCTGAGTAGTATCATCGCAGCTCGTGAACATGAGTTTCTGCTACTCGAAAAATTGAGCAGATACTCCATTCCGATCATCACTTCCCACAAAGCCCCGTACTTTCCTTCTTTCGCCTGACCCTGACAACGCATAGTTATCTCGTATAAAGTGGCTTGAGTAGGCTTTGGAACTCCGCAAGTAGAATCTTGCAGCGACAGATGGTCTTGAGCTGGAACACGCAGCTTTGGGCCGGTCGTCTGAGCGTCGAGGTATGTAATGAAGAGGGTGATCTGATCACGCTTGCGAATAGCGCGCTGGATCATCAGGAAAGTAGAATTCCACCGCGTTTCGTTGTTCTGCATCAACTCGACGTCGATAGCTGTTCGCTCCTCCTTGAACAGTTCGTGGTATTCATCTCCATATCCATTACCAGCAACAGTTTTCATTACCTCTCTGCGCTGGGTAGAGGCCCTGACAAACGTGACGACATTTTGCAGTATGCAAACGGCACGCATCCGCACCGGCACGTCACGGAAGAGGCTATCAAGGAGATTTCACTGGCAACGCTCCTCGTATCGCGTCTGTGGCTGTAGTAGTTTATAATAGATGACGATTTCGATTTTTATCAGCCACCCTTAACCAAGGTAGACCTGAAGGCAATTTCAACATTGGTCCCATTCAAAGCCGAAGTTTCGATGTAAAATAGGTCGTTCTCGTCTGCGGGTATATTTATCAGCTGCTAAGTGTTTCTTCAGCCGAGAGTCCACTAACCAGCAAAAGATTTAGCTACCTCAGCAGGGACTGTTCTCCGATTTGCCAGATCCATTTTGTTTCCTACGAGGGTCATGATAATGCCGGCATCAGCGTGACGCCTTATTTCATGGAGCCATCGGGCCATGCTCTCGTATGAGGTATGGTTTGTGATATCATAAACGAGCATCACACCCACAGCGCCATGGTAATAGTTTGTGGGCATACGGTATTGTTCTCTCCCGGCTGTGTCCCAGATGTGCACCTTGGTTGCCTGGGAGCCAACTTGGACCGTCTTGACCGCGAAATTTACGCCGATTGTTGGGTTGAAATCCTGGACATATCCATGTCGCAAATACTGTCCAAGGATATTCGATTTGCCTACTCCAGAGTCTCCAATTAGGACAACTGTGGGCCACAGTCAATTAGTACGTTCCGGTGACTAGGTGTACGACACAAATCCGCTGCGGTCCGTTCATATACGAATTGTACCTTTCGAAGGGATCTGTGTGTCTCAGCAGCTGCAACCATGAGATATCAGAGGGGACTTACTTTTAGTTCGCTGGTCGTCATCTTACGTCGTGGGAGAAGATCCTTTGCAAGCCACAGCTGTGAATTCTAAGATGGATGTCGGAGAGGGATGGACTATATGGGGTCGATATAGGCACCGCGCTCGCTGCTGTTCGGCGAAAGCGAAGAACACGTAGCAGTTGCTGCTAGTGGCTTTGGGCGCAAAGCATCGGAAATGGGACGCGAGGACCTACGCACGGAAGGCTATAGAGGTCGCTAGAACTGGGGTTTAATCCTACCTATACATATCTCATTGGCATATACTCCGGTGTAGATAGTCCCGCTGGAACACGCTGGCACATTTTCGATGGAGATGATCTAGACCACCCTGAGACGCTGTGAGCCTTTGGTTCCACTTGGCCCTATGAGGTGCACTGAGAATCCTTCGGTGCATTTCCGACGAGCTAACAGAACCATATGGTGTCCCAGCGGAACCGCCTGTTGTGCGGACATATATTACGGCCAATAATTAATGCAAGCTGAGCTGCAGGCGTTCCGCTGTAACGCCGCATTGGCTAGGATGAGACGGGAACCACCTCAATCTGGGCACCAAGGAACTTTCGGCTGAATCCTTCGGCGGTCAGCCACTAGTTGGCTTACAGAATCGCTCGGGTGTCATTGACATGGGTCCGCCCCATTCCAGCGTTTCACTTTCGCAAACATCTTCGCAGCCGCCATATTACTGTACACCAAAGCCATTGCCAAGGTTAACACAACAAGCACGAGGTCAGGGCTTCACAGTTGCGCTGTGAAAAGCCGCATGCAAAGACCGACTGCTGGTCGCAAGGGGTAGGGGACGATGTGTGGATGCACAGCTACTCGTCGATGGCAAACGGCGAACATCCGTCCGACCCTTCGATGATGGGGAAGTGTCGAAGCAAATGTTCAATGACTCGCAGAAGTAAGCACAGGGAAAGAAGTAATCGAATACGTGTCCGGATGGACCGCAGTGAAGTGACGAGAGCCGGCCTCTCGTCAAGATTTGTTGACTTAGCATCAGGTAGATGGATAGAGTCTGAGCCGCGAGTGGAGAGCAGTCTCAATTCCGTTTGACGCCAGAGATCGTGCCTTCTGCCATGAAAGTGGACCTTGGCTGGAGTTTTTCGGGTCGGGAGGATACATGATTTTCTTGGCGCCGTTCGGTCGTGCTGACCCAATTCCACAGGCTGTATCAGCTGAGCCGGTGCCCTGTGGTGCCCGGTTGGGTGAGTCGTCACCACCCATGGCGCTGGCCGTCTTCCCCACTTGCGGGTTGGTCAGATGTCTCTCACCTGCCTCTCAACTGCGTGATGCTCCTGTGTCTGTGCTTGAGCGCCTGTTCCGCTGGATGGGTTGCGGCAACCCCAGCAAGAGCACTGTCCAGGTTGTGTCCGCCAAACCCGTTGCGCTACAGGACCTTACAGGACCGATTTCCAGCCTTATCGACACGAGAGCTTAATGTTCAACTCCCGCCTCGTGGCATTTGCTGTCATCTCTCTGTGCTTTCCATCCACCTTCTCAAAGTCTAATTTCTACCAGCGGTGAGGACGGCATCTACTCCAAAGCCTCAGCGCCATCGCCCATGACACATGCCCAGCGGCTGAAGGCCCGCCAACTGCCTCTCCACAGTCGCCATCCCAGAGCCGAACTTCAAGGACCAACCGAAGCCTGACTGGCTAAGGCTAGGTGGCCAGTCGCAGCTAGTTTGTTGCGACCGCTGGTCCTAGCCGTTGGTTCGAGTGACGTCGCAGCCGTCGAGGTGCGCAACAGTCTTATTAAAGTCAGCAGCATATCATAGAACAAATATGGACGGTTTCCATTGGGTCCCTCGACTGCGCCTGTAGTAGCAGTGCCTGACCTGTTGTATCGCTGTGGAGTTGAAGCCCTTGAATGGTTGCCCCAGCTTGTCGTTGGATGACTTCCAGCGCGACACCATCAAGAGGCTTTCAGTTCCTTGATGAGGGAGTCCGACTCTTAACTGAGAGGCATGCGATCCAGCTACCTGACGTCGTGATCACCGACTACGACGAACAAATGAAGGCAGCATTGGGACATCAATTCTCCGATAGCCAGCAGCAACTCTGCATCGACCACATGAATGCAAACGTACTTCTCAACGCCAAGCGAAAGTGGAAAGACACAAACAAGACGGCGCCAGTGAGAGCGACAGCGACAGCGACAGCAATCGACGATCCCGGGCGGCACTGAGTTCGAGGGACGTGGAAGCCGTCCATGACCCTCCCTTACAAGGCTGCGGCACTGTGGCCGTGCCGCACAGCTACCGAAGCGTCCTTTGAATTATGGAAGCTTATAGTCTTTGCGGAGAACAACAAGGAATACGAGAAGACGTGGTCTCGCCTATGCCACGAATTCAACGACGAACAGGCACTTCTTATCTATCTCTACAAAGCCTACTTGCATATAAGTGCCCAGTGGGTTAGTTGCTACATCAAAAAGTACCACAACTTCGGCGTTCGCGTGCCCTCTGGCACCGAGGCCAGCAACAACAACGTCAAAAGCTACTTGCTGAACGGGACGAGCCATTTGTACGGGCTTGTTGAAGCAATTGAGGGCATGCTGAGAGATCAGGAGCGCGATTTCGCCGATAAGTGCTCTCAAGATGAAGTCTTGACGGCGCGAACCTATTCTGGGCCCCCGGTTCGGAGTATCTGGGAGAACTCCGCATGGTGGTATCGCAGCCAGGACTCGACCTGATCGCGAAGGAACACCGCCGGACACTGACCTCGGTACCAAGCAAGCCATGTCCTTGGCCAGAGCCTATTGGAGACTGTCAAGAGAGCTGCACCGTCTCTTGGCAGCTGGGAATTTCTTGCCGCCACACAATCTTCAAAAAGCTTGAGACAGGAGCGACATTGACGGAATGGGACATCCACCCGAGGTGGCACCTAAGGCAACCAAGTTCGCGCAACCCTTATCGCCTCATACTTGACCCAAAAATTGCGACGAGTCTCTGTGGGCGTCCTAAAAATGGAACACAGCCGGTGCCTGAGCACATGGCTATCGCTGGCAGCACCTGCACCGACACACAGTCCAGGTGCAAGGCATTTGCGCCGGGAAAACAGACCGGGATGAGGCAAACAGGATGCAGGAGACAGCCGAGCCTGCGGAGGCGGCGGCCTGAATGGGAGACCGTCTCGGATGATCAGTTGCCCGAGTCTCCACGGAAGCGCCAACGTCGTGGCGCTTCCAAGCGGCCGGCCACCCCGAAAGCGTCATCTGCGTCAATAAAAACGAAACATTAAGTGCCATGGCCAGGAGTACTGGCAAGGACGAATGTCCACGGCTTCCTAGGAAGCCGCTACCTGCTTACTCGTTTGCTGCAGGTGATTATGAGACCCTTCTTCGAATCAGCGCGTAGCAGTTCCGGCGGGTTCCGCCATCATATCGGGTCTGGTGCCGGGCCAATTATGCTCGCGTCAAAGCAGAGGGACATGAAGGCTGAATCCATCCGGGACAGAACCAAGTGGCGACCAAGCCTGCGGTCAACTGCCGCGGCCACAGACTGCTCTGGCCTGCACCGTCCAGCCCCGTGCGAGTCTCTTCCGCTTCGATTGCTTGGTTAGAAGTCAGAGCTCGGCTTCCCTCTGCCATGATATGGACATTCCACGGTGTAGTTGATACGGTTGGTGTTGTGGGTGTGTCGGGTGGAAGCTTTGTCACGTCAGCATTGTACTACGCCCTATGAATCGCTCCCGTACCTCTTTTTTGAGCGACAAAACCGTCAGCTGAATATGCATCGTAAGGCGATGCGTCTTGCCATCGAGGTCCGCCAAGTCGCAGATAAGGCAGTTGACCGTGTCTCTCTTGACTTGAACGGCATCGTGGATGTCCTCAAGAACTCCTATGGAATGCTCCAGGACGGAGATCTTGTCGTCACGAGGCACGAGACAAAAATCACCCATGATCACAGTGGTCAAGTCTGGGCCGCTGAGTGAATGTCACATAATCGCATCGGAGACCACCAGTGTATTTATACTGATCGACACCTGGTTTCAAGCGCCTGACCGGCCGGCGGGTGGGTCACGTCGGTCACACGGCCTTCCGGACGGGCGGGGAAGAGAGCTATACTTAGCATCACGGACGGACCGGCCGGGCGGGGTTCGACGGGTCCGAGGTACCTTTGGACGTGCGTGATTGATGTAAATTTAGCAATCAAAACAATACTAGTTACAATTTGGGTCACTCTGCCTCACATGGCGTCACCGTAAGGACCAACCGCTACCCGTTCAAGTCCTACAGCGGCTTGCCGATATGGCGGCTTGCTTGGCGTCGGGCCACCGCTGCGCCGTTGACCACGACAACATTCTCCAGGGGCTGGGTAAGATCGACCCACCAATTTCCTGCGGGGTCAACCACGCGATAAGCTTGGCCGGAAACCACCAGGATATCCATCAACGGCTCGGTAAGGTCAACGCAGTCGCCGTCATCACCCGTCAAGGCGTAGGTGTCGCCACCAACAGATATGACTTGCCGTTTTTCAGTGATTGAGAATGCCTCCTCGCACAGTTGCAAGAGCTCCCTCATGCTGAGTTCAAGAGGCACGGCAGGGAGAGGCTCCAACATAGACCCGTTGGCTGTCGTAGAGTCACTGTCCAGTGACTCGAAATGCTGGGTGTCGCCGAAGAAGTCCCATGAGAAGTTGGCATGGGTATCATCTCGGGAGTGCGCCTGACTCAGAAGTGGCAGTTCTCCATCACCGTCTTCGTCGAACAAGCGCGTGCTCGCCATGATGCAGTCTTGGGACACGGCTGTCGATGCAAGGTTAGCAGGGCCGGTCGTCATTGCTCGTGTGCCCAGGGGGGCGGCAGGCTCTTGAATCAAAAGGTGTTTGTTGCTCAGACGATTCAGCCAGTAGTCCGGTTGTGGAATAAATGACAGGAGAAGGACGGACATTCAAAGAAACGGGAGGAAGCCGCAGTTATATACATTCCACGCATTCTGCCTGGCCTCAGATACGGTCGGTGCCACGTCAACGGGACGCGTCCGCCCAGGTTGCCTCCCCATGCAGCATCCGTTTCAACCCACCGAGGCCAACCCGGATCCTTCCGCTCCCGCAACGGCCTTCCCATGCCCCCAACGCATCGTTGAACCTCAGCTGGATCTTCCGTCGCGAGCCTTGCCGCACTGTCACCGCCACTCGCTTGTACGTGTCGTACATCACTGACGAAATGAGACGACGTCGCCCGTTCTTTGTCAGACGTCCTTTGATGTACTCGACCAGATCGCGTACTTCTAGCTTCCCTGGCCCTTGCCACCGTCGGGATGCTGGATTCCAAGTAAAGACAAGAACTTCCGCCAGGGCATCGTCTCCAAGCTCAACCGTTGCAGTCACTCGGTATATCTTGTACTGGCGCTGGCGAGAAGGGCGTTTGGTGTGCCTCGACCAAGCGACGCGTGTGTTCGATCGTAGCCGTCTTGTACGCGTCCCATCGTGGCCCTCACGTGAAGAGACGACAGAGTGTGGGCTCATGTCATGTAGGGCGGCTGACCAGTCGAACTCAGAGGATGGAAGCTCCATAAAGTCGATTTCAGCATCGGAACTGGAGAGCAAGTCCAGAGGCATCATGAAGGTCCCAAGAAGCTCGTCGATGCTGACGGTGGTGCCATCGCCGGAGGTATACAAATCGGCCGTGTCGGTGCAGTTGCTTTGTGTAGTACTGGAATCGTCTTTATGTATGCCCTCAGCCTTGGAGATGTCTGTCGCGACATCTTGTGGGCAGACCGCAGCAAGCGCATCGACCCGCCCCTCGAATTTTGCCGCGCCGGTGGGTGCCTTCAGCTCCAGATGGACGCTTGGAGACAAAGGGGGCTCCAGCGCATGGCTGGCCTTGAGAGGCCTGAGGAGTTGAGAACGGTTTCCATGGCGGAGCTGAAGTGCGTGAGCTCTGATGGAGATGCCAGGAAGAAGTTTGGATTCGGCTGGGTTGAGGGGCGCACCCCTTATATACATGTTCCGACGCCCTGCGTGTCACGAGCTGGCCGGTCTCCTTGCGGCCAGGTCACGACGTCACGGGATACAGCCCAGCTCCGACAGCTCTAAATATGGCTCATTGTAGTCGCGGCATCTCCCGGTGACCCAGAACTCCTCGCCGACATGAGGATCAGGTGTCTGCCCCCACTTCCATTCGAACATGCTCTTGCTAGGTTCATCCTCCACCTTTCTTCTCTTACCCAACGCAGCCACCACATCTTTCGAGCGTTGTCTTCTCGCGTCGCATTCAGGCCTTGTCGTGACCACGGTTTGGGCGTATGTTGCTTGCCATGGTAGCGCAGGGCCTGATTGCTCCATGACGCAGGCAACGCACTTGTGCGGCAGGGGTCTCCGGTACGCCGACATTCGGTGTAATCAAATGGCTCCCGAAACGCGTCTTCGTGAGACTTAAGGCGTTGACGATGTGTAGATATGCGCAGGGGTTTTGCATGCAATGAGAGTACGACTTCATATCCGACAATGAAAGGTCACCCGATCGCATGAGTGCGCCTCACCACTACGGGAGCTCGAATTGACTTACCACGTCGAACTGGCACCACCAAGAGATGGAACATTTACTCCGCAGTGGCTGCATTCCGGTCTCCCGCCGCTGAGAATGCCTCTTCGCACAGTTGCAAGAATTCCTCCATGCTGAGGTCAAGAGGCATGACAGAGAGAGGATCCAACACAGGTACGTCTGCCGTATTGGAGTCACTGTCCAGCGACTCGAAATGCTGGGTGTTGCTGAAGAAGGGATCCCATGAGAAGCTGGCATGAGACTCACTTAGGAAATGTGCCACACTGAGATGTGGCAGCTCTCTGTCATCTTCTGTGTGCGAGTGTGGATTTGCCATGTCGGAGCCCCAGAACGTATCCGTCGCTGAGAGGTTGACTGGGATTGTCGCTATTTCTCTTCAGTCCAGGAGGCGGCTGGGTCATACCATCCGAAGGACCGACCAGGAGTACTCTAGAAGCATAGCAGGAGATGCAAGGCCATTCAGAGAGATCGAGAGAAGCCCGCAGTTATATACATTCGACGGGTTCTGCCTGGCCTCAGATACGGCCGCAGAGCCCTACCACCACGTCATGGCGAGACGTCT